CGGAACGAATCTAGAGGGTTTGATATGCCATGTAATTAATAATAATAAGTTTATTTTCTCACCACAATATACAAAATACATTGGCATAATATCCAAAATAAAATACATAAAACAATAAATTATACTGTGGGAGACTGGTGCCTAAACTAGACGTATGATCTGTATTTCAGGTCACCAGGACTCCACCCCTTAGAAGATACTTGTTATTTTGATTTTGTTATGTACCAGTACATTGACAATTGAAGTAACTAACTTATCTATATATTAAGGTTTTACAAAGGAACATAAAAGAATATTAAAAAAAAAAACTGTTTATGCAGTGTTAGTTTGGTTAGTATAGGAATTGTGTATTTGTAAATTTGGGTGTGTGAGTGTGTGTGTATGTAATTATATGTGTGTAAATGTGTATATATATATATATATAGTGTATGTAAGCATGTGAATGTATGTGTGAGTGCGATAACGAGAGTATAGTGATAAGATTGGAAGAGTGACTGATGTGTTAGCGTGGCAAATAGTTATGGACAAGTTTACCCCGTACAATAAAATGGAAACAAAAACAAAATAAACAAATAAATAATAATAATAATAATAATAATAACGCACACACTCAACATAGCCCCGCACTAGAGAAACCCTGTGTCGCGGGTGCCATGGACACACACATAGACAGCCACAAATTACACCCAAACTCACGAGAGAAATAACTGTAGGCCATACAAATATTTCTCCCGGCCCGGGAATCGAACCTGGGACCTCTGCGTGGCAGTCCGACATGGTAACAGTTCGGCCACAGAGGCAGTTAAAAATTAAAGCTAAGATAATACAAACATTAAATTAAATTAATTACATATGAATTTACAAATGTTTATGTAGAGTTGAATAATCAACTTTTCAAAATGTTTATGCATTTAATTATTTAGACCTAATAAGAAGACACTTTAGGGGCAAAAGGAAATATGAATCTTTTTTTACCAAATGATAAAAACATTTAATAATAATAATATTCACATACGTTGGTCTGATTCCAAAGTCAGTAACTAAAGCCGTTTTGATATGGAAATCGGAAACAACGACGATATTACAATCACCCAGACCTAAAACAATATAGAAAACGCTTTTCTCATGTTTTTCTACATTGATTCGGCGATGGCGGCACTATGAAAACCTGTGTGCAAGCCAGTCGATCACGGAGGTCGTCAAAAAATTAGTACATGCAAGTTGAAATTTAATAATAGCGGTAAAATGAAATATAATAGTATCATTTGCAATTTTATATCATTAAACCCAGATCGCAGAAACTTATTTTTATCTACGTTGCTTATTTATTAAAATAATAGTCAATTATTTTTATCATAAAACAAGTAAAGAGAAAGAATTAATGTTTATTTGGTTAGCGATAAAATCGGTTAACATTAACTACGCTACGCGCTCTATCTTTTACGCCGTTTTAAATGTTTGATCTTACTAAACAGTTTTGTTACAGTTAGCTGTATGCTCCAAATGGTAGAGTTTGATCCTTGTGAATATTTAAGTCCTATGGGTCTCACGGAAGATTGTGGTATGAACACACACACACACGGAGAGGGAGAGATATGTATACAGTGTGAGATATAAAAATATAAAAATTAAAAGCTAAAAAAGTTATTACAAGTTACGATTCAATTGTTTTGTTTTTATTTTATAAGTTAAAAATGTGCACATGACGCAGCAGTGCTTTCTGACACGGGCTTTATAAGCTTAATAAGTGGTACCATCCACTGTTAATGTTAAGATGAATGTATTATTGAAATAAAGCATTTTTTATGAACTACGGGTCTAAAAGTAAAGATAAGTGCGAGCAGACTGCAGATTGTGCCAAAAAGGCGATGATATGATTTTTCCCGTCTTACGCCAATATGATGGGCACTAATAATAATAACTCTAATGGGCATCGAAACTGGCTCCAGTCAGAGGAGGGAGAGACAATGGAAGCTACTCGTTAAAACTTCTAGTTTTTTTTTAATTCTTTTGTTCTACAAAGTAGTATTTAATACAAGATAAATAGTTATATTTTTTGGAATATCAAGTGACGGGACAAACACAAGTCGTGTGTCGACTTGTTCGCCCCGTCACTAAGTAAAAAAAAACACAGGCACATGGCACACTTGTCAACTTGTCCCAGGGTGACAAGTGCAGTGGCAGTGGCCTTCTGATTTTTACGATTTAAAGCTCGGAGTGGCATTTCTGCTGTTATGGACAGGCGTGTCGCTTATCATCAGGCGTACGACTTGCTCGTCCCGTTACTTGGTATCATATAAAAAAATACAAAAATAAAGTGACATGAAAAATTGCACCTATTTTTATGAAATAGATAACATTGGGGGAGCCCATACCCATACATCTCTATCGGATGAAACGTATACTAAACATAAAATCGAACTACTTTGTTACATCGTCTGTCTAGTCTACACTGAGAATATTGCACATTTTGCACGTTCATTTGCACCTTAATCGGTTAGCATGAATAACTCCTGATACTGATCACAGAAATACATATAACTACGTTGCGTATTTGATAAGATAGTACGAAACGGATTTAAAAATAGTCCAGTTATTTTGAAAGCTTTTTTTTATATAAATTACGAAGTTTTTATAAAAAAGTTCGTGGAATTACATCGATTTGCCAAGTTTTATTGCAATCGGTTACCGGAAAGGCGGCAAAACCGATTTCATCTCCCAGTTTCACACCTTTTCAGGTGGAATAATTTCTTAAAATTTAAATGGGACCAGTATTGGGGACACCTCTTTCCAACAAAAAAAGAATCATCAAAATTGGTTCACAAATGCCGTAATAATCGCGTAACAAACATAAAAAACAATACAGGCGAATCGAAAACCTCCTCCTATTTTTTTGAAGTCATTTAAAAATAATAGTGCATTTGACTTCCAGTTGACTTGACGTGACGAGTGAAAATAAGGTCTTTAGTGATTGAAGTAAATAGCCTAGAAGCAGTTCTGGCCTGGTAGAGGACTTACAAAACTAGTAAGTTCGTTTCCAATTGGGTGTATACCACTAAGTCTTTTCGAACCACGTGTGTATTTAAATTATCATATTCTGTTAAAGAAAACATCGTAATGAAACCGGCGTGTCGAAGAAAGTACACAAAACTCTTTAAAAATGGTTCCAACCCGTATTGGGCCACTATGGAGTACGGTCACGGCCTAAACCTTAGAAAAGACCTGTGCCCAACAGTCGGATGCATTTGCGTACAAGGATAGTCTTGAAAGTAAAACAAAGAATAACAAAAACTTCGAGGCTATATATAATTGTAAGTCAATGAGGCTATACTATTTTTTATAGGCTTGCTTAGAATGTTCCAACCTAAATTGATGATAAAACAAATATTAAAAATAAATCATAATAATACAACATTAATAATATGTATTTGATTGAATAATATGATTTTTTTTACATCCTTTTCACTACCATGATATTCAGAATCTAATTTTTGTGAAAAGACACCACCAATTTGTTACTTATTTTTGATACAACGATCGATCGAAACACTTTCTTTGTTTTCTTCGGTTTTTGAATCAATAAATAACAAAAGAAGTCTGAACCGTAATCGCGGTATTAGCCCATTGAAAAAACAAATGCTTCGCAATTGAGGGGTTGACAGTACGAATCTCTATGGCAGCATAATTTAATTTCAAAATCATCTTCAATCAAGAACAAATGGACGTATCCATTTACTCTTGCTAGCTTTGAAGTAAAATATCGTAATAAAAGCTGCATGTCCAAGAATGTACACAACCTTTGTAAAACTCAAACGAAGTCCCCAACCCGTACTGGGCGAACTTGATAAACTATGACTTAAGTCTTCTCCTAAGAGGATACCTTTGGAATTGGTAAATGATGAAGATATTGATGAAAACATCTTTAATTTTTACATAAACAAACCAGTCTTTCTTTCATCGTATAAGCAAACCAAACGCAACGAATACGTTCGTAGCCTCGACGACATCATTAATTAAGCTCCAAGAGAAATATTCTAAGGTGATAAGGACATGGGAGTAGCAGATATCACGACAACATTTGAAATGCCGCGATAAATCTGAACAACACTGGGTCCAGAAATCGAGAAAGACCGTGGATGAGGTGGGCAGATTATTGTTATTATAAGCCAGCAAAATTTCCACTAGTAAACATAAGTTAAACATATATCGCCAAAGATCTAAGGAGCAACCATGTTTCTGAAAACGACAAGTCCAACAAAGCCAAAGTGGAGGGAAAATACAAGGAAAGCACACGCCGCCATCTGGAGAGAATTATAATGCTGAGAAGAAAGAGAGAGAATATAAGCAAACTAAGCCTTACAAATATCAAACAACAAAAAGCTGTTATTACCATATTGTTATTTGTAAACAATGGTCAATAGAGCGACGATAACAAATCGTGTTAACAGCAAAGGGCTTAATCATAGAAACTAGCTTATCAATCATACAATGTCAATACCCTAACTTCTTTTTACTAATTCACTTAAGTAAAAAGAAGTTAGTTACCTAGGATAATAAAGTAATAAATAGGTATGCATAATAAAAATTATACATTACACAAGCTTGCATAAGCTGACCATTTAGGTTACCATGGTATTATGGTAACCATTTAGGTTACCACGAAGATTGAGTTGCAGTTCCTGAGTATGTTATAAAAACACTAACTTTACATAAGTCAATATTACTTACATTTACTAAAGTTTACTAAATTTTCTTAGCAAAATTGAGATCAAGCGTTCTTCTATTTGAATTTATATAAAAAAAAAGTTTTTTAAAAACAGGTTCAGTTCTCTTTTTGCTAAACCAATTCAAACGATCGAGATCAAGCGAGTTTGATCATTGCGTTCGTCTATTTCACATGAAAAAAAAAAAAATATTTTAACAAAAACAGAGGTAACGCCTCTACATTAGTTAAAAGTTCCATAAAGCGTAATAAACAAAACTACATAGCGTCTACTCACATTTAATCATTTTGATATATTTTTTCCAAACTCCACAAACTTTTAACAACACTTGTTTAGGTATTCATGCATATACAAATACCTTTTAATTACACAAATGGTCGAATTTGCAACACAATTATTAATATTTACACAATGAGATCATTGAAATGATTTTTTATTAACTAGGTATATTGTTTAATAAAATAGTTCAAACGTGTGTATCAAATGGACATGGGCGTCATAACTACAGCCCAGTTATGTCCTAACTGTACCTATGCCATGGACAGACAAGGAAAGAAGTGCATTTCATAATGTGTGATGTTCATTAAATACATATTGTTATGTAATTATTATACAGTATTTTTATTTATGACTAATACGTTCAATAATAGCAGGAACAGTGTTAAGTGTGCAATGTTTCTCGGAATTTGCCCTTCCGTTAGTGCGGCTAGGAAAAGTAACTTTAGAAAATACGCAGTATGGCGCAAGTTAGATTTTAATACATAGGTAATTAGACATTTAAATTGTTCGTTTTTATATGTTTGTAGAGTCGGTGCAATTTTGCAGGATGCATATAGTATAGTATTTATAATAGTTTTTAATGCCTCATTTATTGACATGGGAAGCAGATTTGCGAACACTTTCAATGAAGCTATCACAAAAAGGTCATATGTTACAATTTAATATGCTCTTCATCTCTGACGGGCTAAATGGTACTTAGTTTTTTATTTTCACTAATACTTGTTTTTCTGACTGTACACTATTAGTATTGACTGATAAGGTGCGTACTATCAGTCAGCGCGTGGTACCCAGGATATGAACTCTGGACTGGTCGGACAGACAGTTTTATGTACATTTTATTATCTAACCCACAAGCATAAAGTAGGGAAATCCATAAACAGATTTAGTGTTTAAGATTGCGCTTGTCAATACACGGAGAGACCAATTAGTCTTTTATGAACACCTAAAATATGGTGTGCCCGTGTAGAGTCTATTCTTTGTTGTAAGATAAATAAAAGGAAAGTATGCACATACATAACAAGGGAGAAATGAATCATTGATAAAAATGTTATGGATAATTTCAATTACATTATCACATCCTCGGTAGTATAGTGGTAAGTATCCCCGCCTGTCACGCGGGAGACCGGGGTTCGATTCCCCGCCGGGGAGGAAACATTTTTGTTCACTTTTTTACGATAGTCCCAGAGTACTCATTTCTTGTGTACTTTAGGACTATGTTTTAGTAAAACATGTTTAGCTATTACATTATCTTTCCTTTAAATTTAGTTTGAGAAAAAAATACTTTGACAATGTAAAATGGTCTAGCTGCCTGGTAACGCCATCTATAAAACTTTTTTGAAGCTTGTGCATCAGTAGCTGAGATGACAAACATGTGAACGTAACGCCATCTATAACTTTGATTTAATATTACCACTAACATAGACTACTGAGTTTGTTTTGTCTATGCGACAAATATTTCGAGTGACGTCAATCAATCCAGTGGCGGGAATTTTGTTTTACAGTTTTCTGTGTTTATTTTATTAACATAGTACAATTTAATTGAATTACAAAACAGGCAATTATCAAAGTAATGCTAAAAACTTTATAATTGTGTTATCTAAACATTTTAATTCATGGAAAGCTTGTATTTTGTAGAGTATTTGCTGATTTGTCTTTAACGACAAATTGTTAAGGTAAGTGACTGCTTTTCTCAGTATTGACCTTTTATTTTTTCATGATTGAATAACATACATTTACTTTGATTAATTTTTGTGAATATTTTTACGTTTCATGTCCTAGAGCCGCGCTGCGTTCGCGGGCAAGCGAGGGGCTTTTTTTCTTCATTCGCGCTCGATGCGTCGATCGTTGTGCCGTGTATAAGTCGGCTTGTCTATGGGAGTGCTGCTTGCTTGCTCGTATCGAATTTGTGTGAAAATAATTCATGTCCAGTGATTTGCAGGAAATAATTACATTTCTCGCATGACAGTGAATAAAATTACCATTTGAAATGGCGTTGGAGGGTGTGAAAAGTGAAAAAAGTGAGGAAAACAGTGGGAACGTCGCCGACGGGAAGGCGAATGGGATCGACAACAAAAGTAAACAGGTAGGAAGAAAGTGTAATTTTCCGTGTTTTTCAGGGTTTTCTTCGTGCTTGTTCATCTTTAATAATCACTACAGAGCAAAAGAGTCTTATGAACTATTTCTTGGGCGTGTAGTTGAAGGAATATTGGTGTTTTTTATAGTAATACTGCAAAGTACTCGCGCAGCTGTTGCCCGTCTGGGCAAGTAAAGGTGTTCTAAACAGGGATATGACCTATTTTCTGCATATGCAGCATTTTACGACGGTAATACGCTATTCACTGGCAGTCTAAATTGCCCAATTGTGTCATACTAATCTGTATCATATACCAATATGTTTTACCGTTCTGCTGCTACAATTCTATCTGTCCAATTTGGGCCCTTCGACATGGCAAATTATTCTGTTATGGGTGACCAAATAATTCCAGTGACTATTTACTGTTTGTGTATGAACTACTGTATTGTATACTTACACAATAAAAAAAATCCCAATAGACTTTATCATGCAATAACAGTGCTGTGATATCTCAATGTTATGATTTTTTACGACCTTGATAGATTACAATATTGCAATTCCGAATATATATTTAAACTTGTTAAATTATTGAAAACCGAATGAAAACTATATCAAGTTTTTGAACGTACCTAAATCTAATAATATTCTTTTGTTATTCATTCCATTTTAAATAAACTAACAACAAGTTAATTATTTTAATTGCATTAGGTATTTCTGTTAATCAGCAGTAAAAAGTTTAGATTATTATATTCTCGGTTATTGCAGTATAATTTAAGTATTATTCATTTCTACATTCTTGGTTATTGCTTATAAATTAATCAAAACCTAATAGGACTTTACTATTCATTATTATTATTATTATTCATTCGTTTATAAACTAACAACAAATGAATTATTTTGATTATATTTGGCCTTTCTGTTACTACAGCAGTGAAAAGTTATACCTACCTACTTAGATTATTTTCTTGGTTATCATAGTATAATACCTGTATTCATCTCTACATTCTGGTTATTATTTGTACTTATTCTATATTCTTAGGTATTGCCTTATAATATTTATATTGCTAAGATAGGATAAATACAATACTCTACCTGTCTCTACTCCTTATTTTGCAAGTCAGGTTATAGAAAAAAGTTATCTGGTGTGCTATATTAATATTTTACACACCAATGTAAACCACAACAATCCCAACCTTATTGTGTTCTATCCATATTTGAGGGTTTAGTTAGACCTTGTCCCCCACGCTGGCCCTATGCGGGTTGGGAATTGAGAGGAGACTGGGCCATATTTTATTTATTAAGCCTTTTAAACTGAGTTACAAATGCTTTTAATAGTTACATTTAAAATATTTACATTATATCTCTTAAGTTAGCCTGCCTCTTGGCATAGGCCTCCTCCATATGTTTCCAGTGCGCTCTATCAATAGTGACTGAAACATATAATATGGGTTGATGATGATCCATATTCGCTTTGCAGAAGAAAACTGCAGATCACATCTAAAAATAAACTGATAATCAGTTTAGTGTGAACTCTAGCCTCTATTATGTCACTTTGTTAATGTTTTCAGCAAGTGCTAATAAGGCCACTTTAATTGACCCAATCTACTGACCTAATTAAAAGCACTGCCTCTTAATGGATAGTCAACATGTTAGCCCATCTGTTTTATTTTTAGGTATACCTGCATAAATCGGTCCATACCTGGTTTCCTTAAGAAACGCCATTATTTCCATTTAAATTCAATTATATTGTCAAGTAACAAAAAAAATTATTTGCATGTTAATATATAAAATATATAAATTTTTAATTTTTGTTTGTTATTTAATATCTTTCACCTTAGCTTTGACTAAAATATTAATATGTTTATAAAAAGTCACTAAAGTAATTATTATATATATCTCCAATGACATCATTTTGCAATTGCCAACATTCACTGCAAGAAACCTTGCAGAGTCGCCATTAAAGCATAATTACAACAACTGGTTGCCAATTGGACCATTTTCTATAACTTGAGGTTTTATTACTTAACTATTAAGTTGAGATTAAAAATTTTAGTAATGATATCTCAAGTGAAAACAAATGTTGAAAATTTAATCAAATAAAAAACCATGAAATCTCCTTTCTTCTTAACAAGCTTTGCATTTTTACTATGTGAGAGTTTATGTAATAAGTTCCTTCCGAGATTTTTTCTTCATACAAAACATGTGCCAGCGGGCCGCTGCATTATTACACAATGCTCCGGTGAATCTGTAAGGCCTCGGTCGCGGCCGCAGTGCCCCAATTCGCCATTTCGCCCCGCAGATTTGAATTGCACGGTGGGTAGAGCTAGAGCAGCGACCTTGCTGCCTTCCTGTCGTCTTTATTTGGGCATCCTCTACACAGACAAGTGCCAAATTGTTAAATAAAATAACAGGCGTTCAGTCGTCCTATTTAATCTCGGGTTGTACAATTTATTCATTAACCCAGAGGCCAGATGGGCACGTTACTGGTAATCCACAAAACAAATCGTTTCCCTAATCATGTCCGTGTGAATTGTCATAATTTTGCTACGAAGGTCGAGGCTGTCGTGACGTAATATTATTGTAGGTACCAACAAGGCGTGGCCGACCCACCTTGCGGTTTATTCACTGGAAAAATCGTTATTCTGCCCATAATAGCAGCACGTAGTTTAGTTGATAAGCGAAGTACCTCTCTGACTTCGCATAGAATTTTAATACCTTCAGTTCGTACCAATTTTTAGATTTACAACGACGTGATAAGCTTCGTGATGAAGTAGGCACGTGTACTCTGAGAGCCTGGATTGATTATAGATTTCATGGAATAAAAATGTTAGAATTTTGAAGACGTTTTGCTAAGTACCTATATTCCAAGGTGACAACAGGAGGTTTTGGTATCAGTTCGCGTGACCTTGAGAGGGCTGGGAAGTACGTGACGTCAGCCCTTTGGGGAAGGGGTCGATCCTATCGTAGAGCTTTGGAGTAACTTTGTAGCGAATAATCTCACGAATCTTTTTATAAATAAAGATAGCAAGGAGCTCTTTGTTGGCTCCAGCCAACTCAAGTCACAAATGAGCCTCTGTTGTAGTAGCAAATATTAATGCGTCTAGTGTCCTGGGTTTCATTTCCATGTTTATTTCACAATATAAATTCGATTATATGACTAGTATACTCTAGGTAAAGTTTAGGTGTATCCACCAAAAATTAGACACGCCGAAATTAATAAAAAAAATTATGGAGGACATGTAAGTACACCGTACTAAAAATAAGCGGTTGTTTACAGAAATAATGTGTTGTCACATGAACTTGATGCGCCTGGGCGAGGAAAGCCATAAGGGCCGTCAAATTTGATTATTCCGGTACAGTACGCGAACTGAAACTCTGGTGTAACGTACCTTAATGCCTTTGATGAAGTTGTCAAGATGGCTGATTTGATCAAGCGCTAAAAGCAAATTGCTTTAGCTACGGTTCTGTATTACTTAGAATGTTATACCTCATATGAATTTCAACTATTCGTATAAAATGTTGCTTTATCATGAAAGATAAACGAAAACAACGTCTAACTTTGTATAGTTAGTACTCAAAGCTTAAAAAAGTCACTTAAGGAATTATAACGTCTTTCGCCATGAAAGTACACAAACGATAAAAACACTCGTATATTTACAGTTAGTAACCATGTAAACCGCGTTTCCATCGCGAGGAGTTATGCATATCAATTGAACCATTAAAGCCGTAACGAGAATACAACACGCTAATCGATCCTACGACAATTGTAAAACGGTTTGCGGCGCGTGCGCACGTATCTGATAGCGTTATCAATATTAATGAATCGTTTCATACATATTATTAACAATGTTTCATTCATGAATTGAAGTGGCCGCTTATTATTTACAAAGGTTCATTGTTTGACACTCAATTCATTAGATTCACAATTATAGAGATAAATTGATTTGTGAAACGAATCAAGAGCAATTCAGACAACGGCTCTTATCTGTAAGAAACTAGTGCCTCAAAATTTTCTTCAATAACCAGCTTTCTTGTATAGTGTTATTTGTAAAATACTGACAACCACCCAGGTCTATATTATTAAACATCATAAACAACAAGTTTTGTTCCATGATTTTTTAGAAAACGTAATAAAGAAGGATGGCGAAAGCTGCCCCAATAACGACGAAGAGCCGTTTATGGACTTTGCTAGCATAATTGTGCGTTTTAGTTTATGCCTAGTTATCAATAAATTTTTGAAATCGGGAATTAAAAAAATGTAAAACTTTATTTGTAAGTCAATGTAAAACATTGTATTTTAGAATAGATGCAAGAACACCACGCAATTGATTCAGTTCTACTACATAATTAGGTAACGTTCTTGTACGTACGTTTCATTCTAAGCATGATTGAATATTTACTTACCTGAACTATAGGTTATTTTGTAGTACACACATAAAACAGTAAAGCTATAAAATACCTAATGAAATAATCAATTAAATAGTAATGACATAAAGCAAAACATAAAACACAATGTGACAAAAATAATGAGACATATTGAAAGTTGCAAAGGAACGTTTTGACAAGAGACCTCTTGCCAATGTCGATGTCACATTGATATTGAGAACAGTGTGACTATATGTGGCAGATTTCTGCCATTTATTATGTTTAATTTATATTTATTTTCATTGCTGCAGAACATGATAAGTATGTTAAATGTGGCAGAGTTTGGCAGATTTGGGAATATTCGGGAAGTTCTTCATTATTTTTGGGAACAAACTGAAAACTTGTTGTTTTCTGCTACTACAAACAAACATCTGAAGCGAAATACAGGATAATGTTATAAAAACATAACCAATATCAACTTTATAACCTCAGCATCTACAGGCTGTACTCAATTACCTTTTTTGATGCTTTGATAATTAATCACAAGTATTGATAGGTCTCCTTAATGCACGTCGCCAAAAGCACTGGGTCGCAAATACACGGCATGTTGCCATCCTTCTTTGCCAAAAAAGAAACATTTAAGT